TTAATCAGAAATTTGCGGGCTACAATCAGGCCTCATTAAGAAAGGCTTCTGTTACTTTTTAGAGTTTCTGAAAAACTGGTTTTCTAGAAATCCGGTCTCAGGAGGGCTATGGGCCCAAACGATTGGCATATTCGGATTCAGTGCACTTGATTACCTATTGTCCACTACCTTACGGCTCAAAAGCGATTTATCAGTTGGTGTCCTTCCCTCGTCAGTTATTTATGGTGGCGGAAGATGTGGAGCATCTGTTTCTAAAATTAATCTTCTTAATATAGTTTCATCCCATAACCATGTCTTCATTTTCTTATCTTCTTCAATGTTTTTGAGATATGTGATGGAACCATTTAATCCGATGTATCCGTTCTCAAAATCAGTTAAAAATTCGTTACTCGTGTTCAGATCCGCCGAATGAAGGTGTTGTTGTAAAACCGATAGCATGGGAGGAAAATACTCTCTACCTGCAAAAGAATAGCAGAAGTATTATCCGAAATGCTGTAATTATAAACTAAACTCACCTCTACAATGTAGAACTAGTGGCAACCCGAAACGATTAGCCAAAATAACTTGATTGGAAAACACGAATATCTGATCGTTAAACTCTCGTGTACTTGTACAATCGAGACCGTATTCGCCGATACCAACGAGTAAACGATCAGGATGGGTGCTGTGTCCGCTGATTAAAACATTTTGAAGATTCTGAAGTTGTTCGCGGTAATTAAATTTGGAAAAATATTCGGGATGAATGTCAAAAGTTTCGTGGATTAATACGTTAGGATTACAGGAGATATATATATATAATTTTAACAAATTATCGGGAATATGTTTGTTGGAAACTAGTACAAGACGTCGAATTGAAGAAGCTTTCATTTCTGAGACAAAATTTGTATTTTCAATGTCGTCGAAGTGGCAATGTCCGTCGTATATAGGAGTGAATGGAGGAAGGTGTGTTGCTGATCCGCATTTACATTCATTAAAAATACTGTTTAAACAAATATTGTACGGT